GGGGGGGAAAGGAATAAATGACGCTGATTTGTTAAAAATGTGAGAAAAGGACTTTTTTCTTCTTTAAATGTATTTTCATTTTTGGTTAATTATAAAAATTAAATTTTTAATACAAACTACACGTGTCCTTTATCGATTGGCTCATTTGACATGTAATTGACAAGTGTAACTCACACATCTGCTCTGCTGCACTCGGGTGTTTATTTGATTTACTTAACAGTCACTTGAAGTGTTTAAATGATAAAGGGGCCAATTAAGGTGTCTGGCTGACCGTTGTGGACAACTTGGAGGGGCGCTTTATGTATTTCGCCTAAAAACTAATTAATGGAAGTTTATATTCTTTTCCAAATTAATCTTTCACTATACTCTTTTCTTCTCATTATGTCAAAATAACGAAGAAAGTTGTTGAGAATAAGGGCATTACTTGAAGTTAGTTAGTTAGACAAGGGTAGATTAGTCTATTTATCCTAAGTCAGTTAGTGGGCTGTTAAGGAGATTAGTGAGTCGGTTATACTGTAGCATGTATAAATACAGCTTTGTACATAAAAATTATATACAGAAAATTTCTCTCCATTGTTGCCTTCATCTCTGCATGCTCTCTCATCTCTTCTTCTTAATCTTCTATTCACAATTCTAGCATGGTATCAGAGCGGGGCTAGAGATTGATCTAAGCTGTCCGTCGAAGCTGGAACAGAGTAATTGAATTCAGAATTCGAAGGAATCAATTCCTCAAAAATTCAAGCAATCGAAGCAAAGCAGCCATGGGAGACACATCTACAGATACACCTGTAAATCCTGGAGTAATTGGAGTTAGAGCTACAGGAACAAGTAGATCTGGTGTTGGTACTCAAGCTTGCGATGAATTTGGAGTTGACTTGCCGCATAATCATCCTCTGTATCTCGGACCTTCAGATACAAGTGGAGCACAACTCAAATCTTTTCAGTTAACTGGTACGACCAATTATACTCTGTGGAATCGTTCGATGAGAATAGCTTTACGCGGAAGGAACAAGCTAGGGCTTGTAGAAGGAACATGGAAAAAGGAGAAATTTCATAAAAATCTGTGGGAGCAATGGGAAAGGTGTAATGCAATAGTACTTTCCTGGCTTATGAATGCTGTAACTCCACAGTTGTTTGGAGGAGTAGTATATGGATCTGATGCACAGGCAGTGTGGGAAGATCTTCGTGAGAAGTTTAACAAAGTTGATGGCTCTCGATCATTCAACCTACATATGGAGATTGCAACACTGTATCAAGGTACATCTTCTGTTTCTGAGTATTACACAAAATTGAAAGATCTTTGGGATGAGTTTGAAGCACTAATCCCAGCTCCATGCGACTGTGAAAAGTCTAGGGATTATGTGAATCATATGAAAAGGCAGAAACTATATCAATTTCTGATGTGATTAAATGAGTCTTATCTCTAGGCTAGAAGTCAAATTCTAATGATGTATCCTTTAGCTTTAGTCAATAAGGCTTACTCTATGATTATGAGTGATGAGAGTCAAAAATCCATAGCTGCTACAGCAGTGAATCTAAGTTTACAGTCTAATCCTATGCCTGAAAATTATGAGTCAACTGCACTGCTTACCACAAGATCCGGTGGTTTTCAACCAACTTTTCAACCTAATAACTTTCAGTCCAACAATTTTCAACAAACTGGGAATTATCAAAAGCCAAGGAGAAACAACAATGAATTCTGTGAATACTGTAGAAAGAAAGGTCATAGTAAAGAAAACTGCTGGAAACTCGTTGGTTATCCACAAGGCTCCAAGTCCAAGAAGAAAGGGGAGCATCTTCATATAATGTTGTAGCAAATGAGCCAAATCAGAACAATTTTATGCAGCCTCAGGTCTATCCACAGATGCAGAACCAGCTAATGCAGACTCAACCACAAACAATGATGCAGAGACAACCTCCAAGTACCAGCAGCAATTTTCAACAGCCTATAGCTTGCTCTTTCACAAAGGAACAGTATGAGCAAATACTGCACATAGTAAGCAAAAGATCAGGAACATCTGCTTCTGCAAATATGACTAGTGCAACAGGTATCAGTAATGCCTTTCTAGTAGATACTGCCAATAAACCTTCCCGAGCATGGATAATTGACACAGGGGCTACTAACCATATGGTATCTGATCTTAGAGCATTATCCACTATTGAAGAAGTTAAATCTAATAGTCCTAGAAAGGTACACTTACCTAATGGATATGTGGCCTTAGTTACACATATTGGTACTTGTCCAATCTCAGCAAGGAGCATAATTAGGAATGTTCTATATGTTCCACAGTTCAGATACAATCTGCTCTCAGTGTCAAAGCTAACCAAGGATTTGCAGTGTTGTATTGCATTTTATCCTGATTTTTGCCTATTTCAGGATCTTTACAATGGGAAGGTGAAGGAGATTGGTAAAGAAATAGAAGGACTATACATCCTAAGACCACAGGAAGCTAAGAATTATACTGAAAAGGCCTTGGCAGTCAATAAATCTGAAAGTGTTGATATAGACTTGAAGAATAAAGGAGAAGACAACATCAGCTTATGTCATAGAAGATTTGGACATGTGCCTCCTATGATTCTGAAGAAGCTATTCACAATAAAACATGACAATTGTGTCAATATAGTGAAAAACTGTCATGTGTGCCCCTTAGCTAAGCACGCTAGACTTCCATTTCCTAGTAGCAATATTAAAAGTACTCATTATTTTGAATTACTACATGCTGATGTATGGGGCCCCTATAGGGTATCAACTTTTGATGGAAATAGATATTTCTTAACCTTGGTGGATGATTTTTCCAGAATGACCTGGTTGTTTCTTTTGAAACTAAAGTTAGATGTGTGTGTTGTGCTGAAATATTTTCTGCTCTATGTGAAGAATCAGTTCGGTAGTGTTAAAGTAATCAGAACTGACAATGGCACAGAATTTACTAACTCAATATGTGCAAGTTTGTTCAAAGAGTTTGGGATAACTCATCAAATAACATGTGTCTATACCCCTCAGCAAAATGGAGTAGCTGAAAGGAAGCATAGACACATCCTAGAAGTTGCCAGAGCTACGAGATTCCAAGCTCATATCCCTCTCAAGTATTGGGGTCACTGTGTGTTAAATGTTGTGTATATCATAAATAGGATGCCTACTCCAGTTCTAAGCGGATTAACTCCTTTTGAGAAGTTATACAACAGAAGTCCTTCACTACAATATTTAAGAGTTCTGGGGTGTCTGTGCTATGTAAAAAATATGCAGGAGAAGGACAAATTTATGAGCAGGGCAATACCAGCAGTACTAATGGGCTATTCTGGCATACAAAAAGGATACATTCTTTTAAATCTAGCTAACAATACTTTCTTTGTCAACAGGGAAGTTATATTCAGGGAAGATATCTTTCCCTTTCAACATTCCAAATCTCAGCAATCTCCTATCTTCGCTCCACAATCAGAATCAGCCTATATTCATGTTCCTGCACCAGGGGCCATGGCTCCTATGTCTCAAACCTCCATTAGTACTCATCCTTCTACTGATGATATGCTCACTACTGATGCTATTGAGGAGACTCAAGGGGAAATTCAACAGGAAGACAGTTCAGAGGAGATTCAGCAGGCTGCTTTACCCCACACAGTGCAATCACAAGATCAAAGTTTTCATCCAAACATTGCAGAAGCTCAACCCACTGGGGCACCCACTACAACAGAGGTTAGGAGATCTTCCAGAAAAAAATGTCCACCTATATGGATGAAAGATTTTGTGTCTCTAAATGTGCATACCTCAGTACACTATCCCATAGCAAACTATGTGTCATATAGTAGATGTCACCAAAGTATCAGTCATACTTGGCTGCTTTCTCTACCATAATTGAACCTACTACATTAACTGAACCCTGTCAATATCCTAGGTGGGTGGAAGCTATGCAGTCTGAGATTGAATCACTGGAGAGCAATCATACTTGGGATATTGTGTCACTTCCAGAGGGTAAGACTCCTATTGGTTGTAAGTGGGTTTATAGAGTGAAGTACAAGGCATCAGGTGAAATAGAAAGATTCAAGGCAAGACTAGTTGCCAAAGGCTACAACCAAAAGGAAGGTATTGATTATCAGGAAACTTTTTCCCCAATGGTGAAGATGGTGACAGTAAGAACTATTCTGTCAATAGCTGCTGCTCAACATTGGCACATTCACCAAATGGATGTGTACAATGCCTTCTTGCAGGGAGACCTCTTTGATGAAATCTACATGGAACTGCCTCCAGGATTCAAGAGCCAGGGGGAGTCACAACCAGTATGTAGGCTCATTAAATCCCTATATGGCCTTAAGCAGGCTCCCAGGCAGTGGAATGAGAAGCTTACTGAAGCTTTATGCACATTTGGTTTCATTCAGAGTCAGCATGACTATTCCCTATTTGTAAAAAGAACCATAGAAGGTACAACAGTAGTACTGGTTTATGTAGATGACATGTTGATTACTGGTTCACAACTGAAGCTAATTGAAGACACCAACGCAGCATTGCAGAAGGCTTTCAAGATGAAGGATCTAGGGGAGTTGAAGTATTTTCTGGGCATAGAATTTGCAAGATCTGAGAAAGGTATCCTTATGCATCAAAGAAAATATGCACTGGAGCTTATCTCAGAACTTGGACTTGGTGCAGCCAAACCTGCAGCAACACCTTTGGAACTAAATACCAAACTAACTACCAAGGAATATGATGATCACATTGGAACAACAAGCAGTGAACTAGATGAGTTGTTACCAGACCCAGGGGCGTATCAAAGGTTGATAGGGAAACTACTCTATCTAACCATGACAAGACCTGACCTAGCATTCAGTGTGCAAACACTGAGTCAATTTATGCAGCAGCCTAAGAACTCTCATATGGAAGTTGCTACAAGGATTGTTAGATATGTTAAAAATCATCCAGGACAGGGACTTCTACTGTCGAGCAGTAGTAAAGGAACCTTAAAAGCCTATTGTGATGCAGACTAGGCTACTTGTCAGAACTCCAGGAAATCTGTAACAGGATATTTGATCAAACTAGGAGACTCCTTGGTCTCATGGAAGTCAAAGAAGCAAACAACTGTCTCCAAAAGCTCAGCAGAAGCGGAGTACAGAAGTTTAGCAGCTACTGTTGCTGAGCTTGTATGGCTAGTTGGACTGATCAAAGAAATTTGGATTGCAGTAGAGCTACATGTGGACATCTATTGTGATAACAAGGCAGCAATACAAATTGTTGCCAACCCAGTCTTTCAAGAAAGAACAAAACACATAGACATAGATTGTCACTTTATAAGGGAGAAAATTCTACAGGGCTTAGTCAGAACAGAGTACATCAGCACAAGAGAGCAGCAGGCAGATCTGTTAACAAAAGGGTTAACCAAAGTCCAACATGAATACTTAAGTTCCAAGCTAGGTGTGTTTGATGTGTTTACACCACCTAGCTTGAGGGGAAGTGTTGAGAATAAGGGCATTACTTGAAGTTAGTTAGTTAGACAAGGGTAGATTAGTCTATTTATCCTAAGTCAGTTAGTGGGCTATTAAGGAGATTAGTGAGTCTGTTATACTGTAGCTTGTATAAATACAGCAATCATATACAGAAAATTTCTCTTCATTGTTGCCTTCATCTCTGCATGCTCTCTCATGTCTTCTTCTTAATCTTCTATTCACAATTCTAGCAAAAGCAAACTTGTTAAGTTACGGCGAACCACTTATTTCCTCTCGTTAATCCCATTCCATTTTGTTTATATATATTTATCGAATTTATTGATGAGCGATCTTATTGAAACTCAATGTAAAATTCCACCATTTTGCTTCAATTATACAAGCAGGAAAAATAATATAAGTTTATGACCAAGTAAGCTAATGGTCATAAACTACCATTAGCTTTCGTAATTAAACAAAGTAACATGACAAGAAAAAAAAATGTGGAATAAACTCAAGCATAAAGCATGTCAAAGCTTTTATATATTAATCTTTCATAATACTCGAGATAGATTAAAAAAAAAAAAAAAAAAAGCATGATTAAATTAATAAACTATGGAGCCAAAGGAGATGGTATCTCTGGGATTGAACAAGACTCAGTAGCATCACAATATCCATGCAAAATATCCCCTTCTTGGGAAGTGAAACCAATGGAGCCAAGCATGGACGGCCAACATTGGCGTTCAATAGTTCTTATGGCAACACAACAATCTGGACCGAGGTAGGTTTCACCATTAATGAAGAAAAGCACGATTTCTCCGGTGCATGCTTGGAGCTCCAACAATGAATCCCAACACTGCGACGAACCTTCTTCATCTTGTAGCTTTAAACGTGCCAAAAGAGTAGTAGTACTTGATGTTGTGGTTAAAGGTCGAGCTTGAAGTATATTAATCCATGAAAATAGGGTAAGTAGTAGTACAACTTTAAAGATCGTGAGACTCATCATGTTGTTACAAGCTACAGTATATAACTAAATAACTAAAGAGTGGGATATTTTCGTGTGATGATCGTAGGAGAAAGGAATTGTGGGAGCTGTTATATATATGTGAAGAAGAGCTATCGGAATTTACAGGGATAGGAAGGTGAAGAGTTATGAAATTAATGTGGAAAAAACAAATGCATTAGAGTTTTTTGTATAACTGATCTACGGGGTAATTAATGATTAATGTTTGTAATGAAATGAAAGAAAAAGACTAGGATATGATTAATTGTCCACTTATTAAATAATGGCATCTGAAGGGTTTTTCGTTAGTTCTGAAAATAACTATTGAAGCTGTACTTATTCTTAGTTAATTAACCAATCACATTAGGATGGTTTGCTTGATTTAATTACAAATTGTAGTAATGGCTATTTGATCAAATAATTAATAATATTTCGTGGTTCATGCATTATGGCGTACTGTTTAATCAAATTAGCTAGACTTTTCAGTATCAAATGTTTAAAACGTATTCCCAGTACAATGCATGAGCTAAGCTTACTTGAGTCACCCATATAATTGAAGGTGAAATTGTGCATGTTTTTTTTTCTTTTTTCCTTTTTGTGAATATTATTTTAAAAAGATGGATATATACATGAAGTAAAGCATCCCTCCACCTCGTTGTTAAATTAAAAGAGTGGTGTAGTGCACTAAGCTCTCTTTATGCATGGGATAGAAAAGGCCGGCCGAATCCAAGGGCGGATAGAGTCTCATGCCACCTTGTCTGAGCCCAGTATTTTCAAGTGGAGCATAATATTTATGTTGCAAGAAATACTAATATTGCAATAATAGTAGGTCGGAACCCATATTTTAAAAATATAACGCGTTTAGTGCTAACAATCACTACAAGAAAAAGGCTTTTTAGGGACCAATATTTAGCGACGAGGTACGAATCTGGTCCCTAGAAGTACCACTAGTAAGGACGAGAAATTCACTAGTCCTTAAATCTATATTTTTTCATTGAAATATTAAAGAGAAATAAAATTAGTCCTGATATATGGTCCTTACTTAGGCACATTTTTCGCGCGAGAAAGTGGCGCCACACCAAATTGGAATAAAACATAAAAAAGAATTTATTTTAACTTTTAAGAAAACCTAATCTGCCGATTTCTCTCGAGGATTATCTCCCTCACTCCTCAAAGAAGTTTAAACCCTAAATCTCCTAAAACTCCATAAGCGAAGGTATATGTATTGAAACTAAATCAATGTTTTTCTTCTATCTCTCTTAAGATAGGTCATCTAAGCTCATTTTTTGCATATTTGGGGAGAATATCAAATTGAAAATCTACTACTCATCCATCACAAGTAAGCACAATTTCTTTCTCTGTATATCTTTTGAGTTAACCTTTGTTTAATATTTTTCAATAACCATTTTTGCAGGTTTGTGAAATCTTGATTATTTAATTTTTTTTTTGTAGTAATTGGTTTGCTACGACTCAATACTTTTTTTTTACAATCAGTTATTTTCCAGATTACATTTTCTTGGGTGTCCCTTTTTGAATTTTTTATAAAAGCCTATGCTTTGTTTGGTGTTTGTTCTTCAAGTTTGTTCTTCCTCTACTATGGTTCTCTATTTTTATTTTTAAAACTTACCCTAAGAAGAATTCTCGTTTTATTCAAGTTGGAGGAATTTGTCATTAACCTCTTTCAAGATCACTGGATAGCGACTAAGCACATGGGCGGAGCAGTGTGGGTGCAGCACCCATTATCTTTGGTTTAAAGTATGGGTATTCTGTTGTAAATTAAAGATAATCACAATATAGAACAATGAGCACCCACGAAACTTGTTTGAGGCACAGTTTTCCGATTGAAAAAGTTTTTTTTTTGTCGATTCTTTCAAATTTCCCTTTTCATTATTTCCTTTACATTGCTTGTACCATTTCTCTCTTATTTTTCCTTTGTTAATTTATTTTTTTTTCTTTCTTTTGATCGGTTTATTACTGAAAAATGAAGTATTCACCAGTCAAAAATAGCATCTAATTTCTGTTGTACTGATAACCTTAGTACATTTTTCTAGTTAAATTTTAACCTTATTTCCTAATAACAGTACACATATAAATAATATATGGGTCAATCTAAGTTAAAGGTAGTGGAGCATCCATTACTTTAAAAACTTGGTCCCGCCACTGACTAAGCAGCAGTGTAGTTGCAATTTCAGAACCCATTAAATCATCTCCAAGAATTGCAACCTTTTTTATGAGTCATGGAACTAATCCTAAGTAAGTCACCCCAGGTACCTGTTTGTGTGAGAAAAAAGAGTTTGCAGAATCAAGAGGCGAGATTCATTACTTAATGTTATAAGTATCAAATTATGCAGTAACCAATAATTATAGCCTAGCATATTCGACCAACAACACAACTGTTGCACATATCATATACTATAGGTTATGCCACTGAAAAGTCTGGTAAGCGAAAACATAGCTTCAATTAGGTTTGGTATTGCAGTCATACAACGTCATCTAGTGTTGTATAAACTTATTAGCATTATCAAACATTGGGTCCATTGCAGCATAACTCAAATTAGAAGTTTCTCCTCAGATCCATACTTTGCATGAATATTCTAACTCTCAAGGATTTGTGTGCAATTGTTTATTTTTTATATAAGAAATCACATCTTTACTTTATTTTGTTTAGATTGTCTATGGGTGAATTTTCATTAGAGCCTTGTTGCTGTAGCATTTAAATTATTCTTGGTTCCTTTTAGTTTTTCAGTGCTCTTATCTTAATTCAGGAAACTTTCTTCTTTATGTTAAGCAGAGGAGAAGAAAATATGTGTATTTGGATATTAGTATTGCATCTTATTGCAATTCTTAGTCGTGTTATGGGATATATTTTGCATACCACAATTACTTAAAGTTTGTCATAATGATAGAAATAACTGTGTATTTGTGTTCTGCATTTGAGGTGATTAGAATAGAATTATGGTATCTGTTTTTTTAGACAGAGTGATGTGCATACCATGTTACTTTTGTACAACCGTTATGGTCTTAATTTCTTAGTGCATTTGTACTAGGCAATGAGTCATGATAGCAGAGAAATGGTAATCAAGTCCTTTTGTTATATTTCTAGTCGAGTCATGATAATATTGCTTATATGATACAAAATTTAGAATTCGGGCTTCTTCCTCCCTACTCAGTTCGTTTTTCCTAAAAGGTTATGTGCATCTTAGAGTACTTTCATTGTCCTTTATATTTTTTCTAATATGATTCTTATGTAATCTCCAAGGTTATGGCACCTAATAAGCAGTGGATGCAAGTTGTCAATAGACTTGATGAAGCCTACTTAAATAGGGTGCAAACTTTTTTGGATTATGTCTTTAGAAGAACATGAGAAATGTGTGAAATACCATGTCCATGTGTCAAATGCTGTAACACAACTTTAGGAACACATGAGATTGTAGCTGCACATTTGAAAGTATATGGAATAATTCAAAATTATACTTTTTGGTATCATTATGGAGAAGTTTTAGGTGAGCCACAATCTGAATGTGAAGATGAAGATGATGACGAAGTAGAGGAGTGTGAGAGTGATGATGAAATACAAGAAATTTTGAGTGATTTATATCCTAATATTGATGGAGGCACTACGGGCATTGGTTCTGATGACTTTCTTGAAGAAGAACCGAATATTGAAGCAAAATTTTTTTACAGCTTATTGGAAGATTTTGAGCAACAACTATATCAAAATTCTGAATGTTCAAAGCTTTCTACTTTGATTAAATTGCTTCACATAAGAAGTATTGGTCGTTGGAGTAATGAGTCATTTACAATGTTATTGAAAATGTTAAAGGATGAATTATTGCCCGATGGAGCTAACTTGCCAGGTTCATATTATGAGACAAAGAAGGTAATTCGAGATCTCGGGCTTTCTTACCAAAAGATTGATGCTTGTAAAAACAATTGCATGTTATATATGAAGGAGGATAAACTGCTTGAATCGTGCAAAGTTTGTGGGGCGTCCAGATAGAAATTGGATAAACATAGCGGGGAAACAAGGAATGAAAATGGTGAAAAGGTAGCATCAAAGACTTTACGTTATTTTTCAATAAAGCCTAGGCTTCAGAGGTTGTTCATGTCTTCAAAGACATCTTCTCTAATGACATGGCATCAAGATGAAAGAGTTGATGATGGAACGATGAGGCACCTAGCTGATTCAATGGTGTGGAAGTCTTTTGATGAACTTCATCCCTCATTTGCAGCCGAGCCTCGTAATGTTCGACTTGGACTTGCTAGTGATGGGTTTCAGCCACCCACTGATCAAGTTATGCAAACAGTTGAAACATGTATGGTTTGACAAATCTATGATTATAAATTTACTTGACACATACAATAGTTTTAGATATTACTAAATCGTGCAATGCAGGTTCAGGTACTACTGAAAAGGTAAAAAAAGTTCGAGGAAGGAACAAGTGTAATGAAGTTGCATCACTTGAAGTTGGAGAAAAGTTGAAAGTGATATTTTACAATAATCGAACTGTTGGGAAGAATAGCAGTCTATTTTCGAGGCACTTGGAAATAATAGCTCATGATCGTAATATGTGTCCATTAGGAGTATCATCATGGGATGATATTAAAGAAGAAAAGTTAAATCACATGTGGGCAGCTATTGAGGTAACAAATGTGTCCAATTTATTTATAAGCTACTTGCTCCAACTCAAAATATATTTTCACAACCTTACAATATTCTTTTGCTAAAGTAGTTTTACCATTTTCTTTTTCTATGTTATATCAATTATGAAGGTTTTATCCATTTTGCTAAAGTGTGTATTATGATATGTTTAATTTATTGTAGGATAAATTTGAGAGCGATGACCTAGATATTCATCGCAATCATATTTTCAGATGGATGAAAGAATTATGGAACAAATGGAGAGGACAATTGCATGCAAAATACGTGAGGGGTAAGCGGATTCAAGAGGCTCTTAAGAATATACCAAAGGGGCTAGACAAGAAACTATGGGAGTGGTTGGTAAAATAACATTTTTGTACAGAAAGTTTTCAGGCAAAAAGCAACAGGAATGCAGCAAA